AATGTCAATACAAGACTACTCATCATGGCGATCTAAATAAACATCAATTAATTCATTCAGAAATAAAACAATTTAAATGTGATTTTAATAATTGTAATAAAAGTTTTACACACAACATAAGTTTAACTCGACATAAAAATAGCGTACATTTTAATATGACATTTATTTGTGATTTTAATGAATGCCACAAAAGATTTAGTAGAAAAGACCAATTATTTCGACATAAAAGTTGTGTTCATTTAAATGAAAAGAAATTCAAATGTAATGAAGAAAATTGTGACAAAAAATTCCATCGAGAAGATCATCTAATATCACACAAACGCATTCATTCGGGAGAAAAATCATTTGTTTGTCATTTCAATGATTGTAAGAAAAGTTTTAGACAAAAACATCATCTCAAAGATCACATGAATCGACATTTATATATTAAAAAATTTACTTGTATTCATAATAACTGTAATCAACAGTTTTTTACTTCAAGTAATTTGAATTTACACGTTAAGCGTAAACATAAATACTTGTAATATTGAATATTTTAAAAGTACACTAGTCCATATTAATAACAGTTTCAGCCCTCTCTTTCTCTCAAAATACAAATCAAAACTTAAATTTAAAAAAACAAAAAAAATTAATGTTGCTGGATGGGGTTCGATACTGGGCAATGTAGTTCAACAACCGAAGTTCTAACCATTACACCATTAGGCCACATATACTAAGCGACTGTGTCTACACTCGATATGTGTCTGAAAGAGAGCTTTACACTTTAACCAACTACACAGGGGCAAAAACTGAAACTGAAACTATGAAACTCTAGTTTTTTAATAAATATAATGATTATTTCAAACGATTTTGATGTCATAACGCATGTGGAAGTTAATAGTTATTATAAGTTATTAATCTTATAAAATAGTTCATAAATATAAATAAAATAACTATTTATTATTTACAAAATATTTGAACTCATTGTACTTTAACTTTAAACCCGGAAACTCCCTAAAACTCAGGGAAAATGATATCTATCGAGTATATCAGCCAAGGGTTCATTTACTGCCATCAAAGCGGCGATCATTTCCAGCACCCAATCCCGGAGTAGGGGCTCAACGCTCTGATCGTCAGCGCATTTGTTCATTAACTCAGAGCACATGGAAGCAAAAGTTTGCGGTGTCTGTGCGCACCATTTGGTGCACGTGATCGTCCGGTATGACGACACCTCACTTGTGGTACACATCGCGGGACACCGCGAGCCCAAAGTCTGTCTATTTGGCCGCGTAGTCACCGGCGACGGCGCCGCTAAACACCAATACATTGCGTGTATATAAGTCCCGGTGGGCGACACCCATGGCCTGCATACCGACCGACCACATGCACCATATGCTGCGCACCGATACCATGGCGTTGGCCGCCGTTTGCGAGCGAATGTTGTCAATCTGTGCCACAAAAAAACTTCTGGACTCCGGACTCATTCATATAATGCGGACACTTATGGGTGAATTGCGCACTGCGGTCAAGCCATTGGCCGATATACTCAACAAGTTTACCTTTCCCGAGGTTTACGCACAGTTTTTTTCCGTGGTTTAGATTATGCTATATTTTATTTGTTAAAAGTTATTATTAAAAATAGTAGATAAATAGTTATTTACATTGTTTTATTAATCATTTTAAGTGAAATGAATATGTAGTTTTAGTTTTTAGTGTAATTTATTTAGTGTTAATTAATATGTACCTTTATGTTGACCTGTGTAAACTTAGTAAGATGTTTTGGTGTAATTTTAATTTAGTAATTTTTTAGTCAGGTAGTTTAACAGCAACGTAAATTATTTATTATTATTGCATTACATCATAAAATAAATAAGATTTAATGCATTATTATAAAATTTACTATATTGATTATTTGTTTATATTGAAGTCTTATAATTATTATTTACAATTTTATCTTCATAAAAATACATAAAAATGCGCTACAATTAATTTATCTTAATTTTTAATATTGTAATCTTTAAATCTGTATGAATCATCAAGATTATATTTATTATAGGAAGTAGTCGGCCCACACGCCATCACAAGTTTCATGAAACGGCTCTTTCAATACTAGGCTCAGGTCTTTGGGATCCAAACCGTGGACTTTGGGCGCACCCATCGGCTCATCGTTTAACAGTTGCGGCCAATCAGAGTCCATATGACTGTAAGATTATATGTGGAATAATTAAAAATGTTTAGTTTATGAAATTATTGCATATTTTACTAATAATTAAACAGCGTCATTTACCCATCGGTAGCGAATTTTACCCACATTTTCATCACTACATTACTATAATATTTATCTTCTGTGGTGTAATCGTTGGGATTAATTAATGGTAGACCAAAAACAAATGGCAAATCCATGCCGTGACAAATGCCCATGGTCTTTACATCGCAGTTCATTTGCTTAGCAAAAAACTCGCTCGCGTACAACAACTCGTAAAAGTAAACCCTTTGCGACTCTTTGACAGTTTGTGCGAACCGTTTGGCGAACAGATATGTCGGACACCCGAGCATTATATCGCCTATTACTGCCCCTAAAGCAGTGCGAAGTGACTGACTATCGCTAGTGTTGACACCTTTCAGGTAACTTTCCGTCACTTTTTGTACGTTGACGTTGTGATAGCCAAATTGATCAAGTGCGTTTAGCGCGTTATGAAAGTCGGTTAGTGTTATAAGAGTTGGGTCTTTAATGAGATAATAAACATACGCTGAGCCCTCGTTTTGGTTGATGCCAGCGATTAAATCAATGTCTAATTAATATTGAGAATAAAATTTACTTTTAATTTTAGTAATTGGTTAATATAAACTTAATTAGTACAATAAGTTTTTTTTATTGATTCATTGGTACTGATAATTGTTACTATTTTTTAGTTAATTCTGGTTATTGTAAGAAAATTTGTTATTACCTGTATTAAACTTCTTTTCATTGAAAGCTTGTCGGGCAAAAATGGGCAAAAACTCTGTGCCAAACACCGGGTAAGTGCCGATTGGGTTCTCATATTTGAGTATATCTTTGGCGTCCGCTCTTCGCAGACATTGTATCCAATCCTCGGTTTCATTGCATTTCAATTGTTTCGCTATATTTTTACCCAAAGCCATGGCTTCGGTTTTGTTGACCACTTCTCTGTCTTTGTTATACATATTGGCGCCGCTCTCCATAATAGCCCTCTTAAACATACCCTTAGATAGCGGGGAGAGTATGTGTGCGGACACCGACCAACTCCCGGCGCTTTCACCAAAAATGGTGATCTGATCCCTATCTCCGCCAAATGAATGGATGTTTTCTCTAACCTATTATTATTTTAGTAATACAAGCATTATTTTATATTATTATTGTGTTATAATACACAATTACAGTTTATACAATTAATAAATACCCATTTGAGAGCCAATAACTGGTCATAAAATCCCACATTTCCGGGCGCGTCCTCCCGATCCCCGGTGTTTGGCACAGAGTTTTTGCCCATTTTTGCCCGACAAGCTTTCAATGAAAAGAAGTTTAATACTGGTAATAACAAATTTTCTTACAATAACCAG